CACTCAAGCCTGTTCAATACTTATGGTTCCGGTGAGTTGTTAAAAGATGGTCTTCCTTCCTTCCTGGTCATGAGCTCGACAAAACCTGTCAATCCTGTGCGCATCATTCAAGCATCAACGTGAAGTGTCGCCTTTCTCGCACTCTGCCGCTGAGACTGCTCAAGTCAATGGCCGACGAAGCTCGATTCCGATCAGATGGCATCGCTCTATCAAGACTTTCTTCACAGGACCCTCTTTCCGATAGAGGTCTTGATACCGGTAGCCCTCTGTCATCTTGCTATCTCCCAGAAGATGATGAACCCTTCCTGACAGAGGAAATTGCAACGGAGAACTCAGCAAGCGATGAGTTGTCCCCTGGACTTGCTCGACGGCTCTATATTTCCCACTTTCTATCAACGTGGAACTTCCGTGGATTCGAGTTCGGCGCTGTTTTGTTCCTAGCCAACATCTTTCCAAACACACTGCTGCCTTTGTCTGTCTACGCTCTAGTCCGGTCTCTAGCCGCGATTGCCTTTGCGCCATTAGTCGGACGGTACATCGATACAGGCTCACGTCTCCAGGTTGTTCGCAATTCGATCGTCTACCAGCGAGGAGCCGTCGTTCTTTCATGCGTCGTCTTTTATATCATGCTCTGGCAAAGGCCACACCTCAAAACGGTCAATCTTTACATATTTCTCGCTTTGGGTACTATCCTGGCATGTGTTGAAAAGCTCTGTGCAATCATGAACACCGTGTCTGTCGAACGAGATTGGGTCGTGGTCATTGCTGGTGAAAACGAGGCAATTCTCCGAACACTCAATTCTCAGATGCGTCGCATCGACCTTTTCTGTAAACTCTGCAGCCCTCTGCTCATCGCATCATTGGAAAGTTATGACACAAAAGTCGCCATCGTCGTGATGGGCAGTGTCAACGCCGTCTCTACCATTGCAGAATATTCCTTCATTGAAAGGGTATATACCGCGGTCCCGAAACTTGTGCGCGGCTGTACGCCTCCCGTCAGAAACCATGGGAGCGGTGATGACCTGGAACAAGAATCGGCGTCCGTTCCACATGATGTTGTCAGACTGTCATTGTGGCGAGATTTGAACATCTACACATCTCAGGGAGCCTTCCTGCCCTCCGTCTCACTGTCCATCCTGTACCTAACAGTCTTGTCCTTTTCTGGGCAAATGGTTACCTATCTTCTGGCCAGCGGGTATACCTCGACCATGATTGCGGTGCTGCGTTTGATATCAACTGGGTGTGAGATGTCGGCCACTTGGATGGCACCGTCCGTCATGGGGTTGATTGGGCCCATCAGATCGGGCCTTTGGTTCCTTAACTTTCAGATGGTCTGTCTAGCCATCGCCCTCAGTTTCTTCTGGATGGCAGGGTCGCCAGTATGGGCAGCTTCTGGACTGATCGTCGGCACGATCCTTAGCCGCGTTGGTCTTTGGGGATTTGAGCTATCGGCACAAGTCATCATTCAAGAGCAAGTCGAACCAGAATTCCGTGGGTCCTTCTCGACAACCGAATCCTCGATTCAAAATATCTTTGAGCTCTGCGCTTATGCCTCGACCATTGTATTTTCCCAGCCGACCAGCTTCAAATGGCCTGCCACTATATCCGTTGCAGCCGTTTACATAGCCGGAGCCCTTTACGCTAGTTTTGTTAGACGCAGACGCGGTCATTTGGTCCACGTTTCGAGATGCCTGGAAGGCAGAAAACATTCGACCCTGGAATCAGGAAGGATCTATCGACGTTGCAGGTCAGATATCGGATAGCCCAGGGGGTAAATCAGCAAGTCAGACAGGTATCTATCTATATCTCTTGTGGTTCATGTCCGCAATCGAGATTGCAGATCCAGACACATTTGCGCTGCGACCAGTCAAGTAAACCCCTTGGACCTTGCCGCGACTTCACAATAGTTGGTATATACCCATGCTTCCAGAACCTTAGGCCGGTATCCATATCTATGCGATGCACGTAAGCCACTCCGAGATCTCGCTCAAACACGTCGACTGCTTGCCACTACGGAGGCTCTGGATGGTGCCTCAGCTTCCCGCCGACCAACGCCCACATTCGGTACTTGTTGATTTGGATTATGCGGAGAGCATCTTAGGCATCATCAGCCCCACATGTTGCTGCCACAGCATCCAGCTTGTCTCTGGTTGCCTTGAATCGACACCGCCGACACGAGTATTCCTTGGTCGATAAACAACTGTCAGTCCCCTATGCAAAGGCACAGATGCTCTCGGGGGGCACGGAGAATCGAATGACGCACATCATCTTGTCAGGGTCCATGAGAGCACATAGTTAGCTTTGGGCCTCCTCGGCCTCCCAGATGTCAGACCGTGCAGCCCGCAAAGAGGAGTTGGTGCATCCAATGGCCGAGGTCTTCCACTTTCCGCAAACAAAGGACACGACCGTAATCCATTTGTATAAGAGATTCGAGGATCCCCGTTACCCCATGCTCACCCAAACAACTTCATCCGGTTTCACTTGGTCTCCTTCTGTTCCTTTTAACCGTGTCTATCCTTTTGATCTGGGTTTCGAGCACCGTCTCTTTGCAAGATGGCAGGCTATGACACGATCCCGCAAAATGCTGGGTTGAAGGTGGATAGATTCACCTTGTCGATCCCTGACCAGCAACTGTCAGAATTCAAAGACCTGTTGCGACTCTCCAAGCTAGCCCCACGCACATACGAGAACTTGCACACCGATGATGGGGAGTTTGGTGTCAGTTATTATTGGATGAAGAAGGCGAAAGACTATTGGCTGAACCAATATGACTGGTAGGTCCTCATTCAGCGGAACGAGCTATGTACCACAACGACCAGAGACACTGAAGCCCTTGACCTAGGCGTGAGATTGAAAAGTACAACAACTCGTTTCCGAATTTCATCGCCCACATCAAGGACGACGACGGGGAGGATTTCCGCATCCACTTCGTCGGTCTCTTTTCCAAGAAGCAAAATGCAGTTCCGCTCCTCTATATGCACGGTTGGCCCGGTAGCCATCTTGAACACCTCGAGATCATGGACTTGTACCGCAACAAATATTCACCAGAAGAGCTGCCTTACCATGTCATTGCTCCCTCGCTGCCAGGATGGACTCTCAGTTCCGGGCCTCCCTTGACCAAGAACTTTACCACCGAAGATATTGCTCGAATCATGAACAAATTGATGGTAGGCTTGGGGTTTGGGAGTGGCTATATATGTCAAGGAGGCGACATTGGTTCTTTCACGGCCAAGGTTATGGCAGGAACATATGACGAGTGCAAAGGTGAGCCAAGCATATTCGGCCCACATCCGATCGATCTTGTTGGCATATATCTAACTTATTATCAATAGGTGTACATTGTGAGTGTGATGCTTGCGCCCCTGTAAATCCCCAGCTGATGACTTTCCAGACAACTTCGCCGTGTCTAGTGTGCCACCAGAGAACGTGGATGAAAGTCAAATCACCGAGTCCGAGAGGCATGCCATGGAGACACGAATGAAGGCATTCAACACGACCGGAAATGCCTATGCGCGGGAACACGGCACTCGACCGGCGACGATTGGGTTTGTGCTGGCTTCCAGCCCTCTTGCCCAGCTAGCCTGGTAAGCAAATCCCAACATGACCTGGAAGTGGACATGATGTCGGCGGCCTAAGCATATGGTGGTCAAACAAACTAAATCCTGACATTTGACAGGATCGGCGAGAAATTCATCGAATGGACCGACGAGACACCCCCTCTCAAGAAGATCCTCGACTCCGTCAGTTTGTACTGGTTCACCGAGTCATTCCCACGCTGCATCTACTGCTACCGCGAGGTATGATTCTGCCTGCCCATGATGCCAGTGATCTATATATTCTGACCGCTCTCGAAACAGTTCTCCCTCCCCGGTGGCCCCGGGCTCCCGCACGGAAACCCAAAATACAGAAACGACAAGCCGACCGCATACTCCTGGTTTCCGAAGGAGCTGGCGCCGGTGCCGAAGGCGTGGGTGCTCGCACAGGGCCACAACCTCGTGCTCTTCCGACAACACGAATCGGTGAGTTTGGCTTGTTTTTCCTCCAGATTTCCCGGAATACATATCCCACTGGCAACCTGTGTGTCATATACATGAGATGAGAGACGTACAACAATCCGTCCGTTCTCTGCCTGCTCGTCAGTGTATATTTGTTTGTTTGCATGCATGCACGGCACACGGGACTACTCACTAAGTGCCTTCTTGTTTCACAGGGCGGCCACTTCGCGGCAATGGAGAAGCCAAAGGAAATGCTCGAGGATATGGAGGAGTTTATCCAGAAGATCGGCTGGCCTGTGAAGAAGTGACGGAAAAGAAAACCTACTCGTTGTACCGTGCGGAGATGGTGGTAGGGTCAGTTACCGCGGAGCACTTTATAAGTAACCCAATTCTGTGCTTACGTTGATTTACTACCTCGTATACCGGGCCATGGTAACATCATCTACCTCCGGGATACCGGGAACGGAAAAGTCAAGGTCCGGGTTTCACAGCCACTGATTGACTGCCGGAGGGATTATGAATCAGGGTTTGTGCTGATGGGATGGCTGGCTGCAGGATGGACGAACCAAACCCAGAGACCAAATACTCGATACTGTAGTCTCTGGCAACAAACAGAACCGGCTTGGGTGATACTCTAGAACGACACGACCTGCCCGTTGTCCATGTTGTCTAAGCCAATGATCATTAGTGCCGTAAAGGATCGATCCTCGTCTCATGGGCACGACCTGGCCCTGGCCGACCTAACAAAACACGCACTGCTCGTCCCGACCAAGCGAGGGCTTTGACATCGTCCCAGATCTCCGCGCACGGTGCGTCACACTCACTACCCAGCCAGAGGAACCGGGCGAGCATGTCCTTGACAGACATCACCAACCCGGGGTCCTTCCCTCTAGAAACTCCCTCATTTTTGCCGCTCTCGGCAGCGTTGACGTGCTGAACGAGAAACTCGATGAACCAGTCGTAGAGAAAGGTGCTCTTCACGGACCACGCAGTCACGACCGCGGTTCAGAGGAGGAGAAGAGGATAGGTTTGATCGCGGCGCAGACACACGTCTGTTGTCGTGGCGTGTTGCAGACATCGCTTGACGCGCTCGGCGTACGGGATGGTCACGTCGATATTGTCGTGCAGGTTGGGCAGGAGGACCGTGACTTGGAAGACAAAGGCGCACAGGCGACAGAGTTCGTAGGCTGCGAGCGCTCGACATTTTCGTAAGAGGGTTGGGTTCTTAGCAGCGTGGACCGAGCTTGACGACGACGAAAACAACTCCTCGGACAGGTCCGGCAGGGTCAGTAGCTCGTGCTGATTCTGGTTTCGTGCAAAGATGATCATCCTGATCGGGGGCGCTTCACGACGGTCGCCGCGTTGGTAGCTGTCGAAAGTGATAATCAGACCACGCATGTCACGAAGCACATGCAGCAATTTGAGGGCTGGGGCCAAGTCCAGATCTGCGAGAAAGTCGAAGCCGGTGGCCAGATTAGGGCATCTCTGAGATGCGACACTTCCGAGGTGGCTGGTGGGCCAGGAGCTGATGACCGGCGAAGAGGGCATGAGTAGAGGAAAGGAGGGTTTCCTTTGAAACATGATCGATGTGTGGATATCGAAGCTTCATTTCCCCCCTGATCAGCATATGATAATTCCGGTGACTCTGTCGGTCTCAAGACTCACGAAGCAAGGGCAAAGGCAAGGCCGGGGAGCCAGATCGTATGTAATCCGCCTTTCATCTTGACGATCTCGACCACAGCCCTCATGTACCGCCACTCGTACTCTTGACTGGAGTAGAACTGGCCATCTTGCTGGGCCGACATTGTTCGTTTCTCGCGCTTTTCTGCCGCCGTCACCCTCTCTCCGCAGCTGACAATTGCCAACATGGCCATGGCGAAGACGACTTCGTCGGATAACGCTGACGCTTTAGACTGCAGGGCTATTCTGAGCGACTTGATCGCTTCCGGTTTGCTCGTCAGCCGCAACACCGCGCTCTTTGAATTGTCCACCGACGGAGATTGGTGGAAAGCCTTGTGTGCGGCACCGGTATAGACGAGGGTGTAAAAGCACAAAGGGGAGCGGATTGCAGTGTCCATGACCGACTTCTTCGCCGCGAGCAGAGATCCTGGCCAGTCATCGGCGGCAAAGAGGGACCACTGGTACGAGACGGCTGAAAATCGCAGTCAGGTCTCCATTGAATCGTCGCGCGAAGTAAGATCTCAATATGGCGCAGCTTGGGGACAATATAAAGCGCTGAGCGGAGAGACGGACTGACCATGGTCAAGCATTTCATGCACCATCTGAGCCTGGTCCGGCAGACAATAGGCGTTGAACGGGTCCAAGTCTGCCGGCCCCTAGTACAGTGCTCGAATCGGGAATCGGAGTTTTGAATCTCATTTGCCCATGGCTGCTTGATTCGGGGAATGATGCTTGCACAACCCTTGTAACGTCTCTTTCATGCCCTTACCTGCAGAGGGTCGTTGGCCGCGAAGACCAGGCATTTTGAGGGACTTGGCCTTGTGGTGGTAGACCCTTGCGGCATGCTGTTGCGGGGACTCCTCTGCTGTCTCGTCAATGTCATGAGAATCCGTCACCGGGTTATACGGTAGGAAAAGGAGGCGCATAATTGCTCTCAAGATCAATGAGGTTCAATCTGTTCTGGACCCCAGCTGGGTGGCTTATGGTCGACCGACAAGGTATGAGACTCTCAAAGGTTCTCACAAACGAGATATCAGAGTAGTATCATCACCCCATTTTCGACAGTTCTTTTTAACAGAGTCAGACCTGGCTGTCCTGATTAGCAGGTGTGGGAGGCTATGCCACTGATATGACACCCTGCAACGCATGTTTGGAGACATTCGAGGCCTTGTCAAATTCGTCAGCCAGATAAAGTTGGAGTTTGACTGGGAAACCCCTCGGCATGAGATCTGGGGGTTCTGGGCATCTCGGCAGAATGATTCTTAAGCCAAATACGAGGTACTGAGAACATCATTTGAACAAGAAGCAAGCAAACTGCGGTTGGCTGCGGCAAACTGAGCGAGCTGCTCGATTGGGACTAATCAGTATATTATTATTACAGGGGGTGAGGGGCTATCCCCAAAAAGGCCATAATCTTGGCATGTATCTTGGCATATCTGTCTCCTTTGCCCGATCAACTACTTTTCTAAGAAATCCGAACGACCTAACCGTCAAATATAGGGAAATGGACCCGAGCTTAGAGGACTTCAAGAGGCGGAAAGACCCTATTAGATCTCCAAAAGGGTAAGAACGCAATAACTCCCTTCCAATCCAGCACTGACGCCCCGAAGAGCTAGAGGTCAGCAAAATCCTCGGCCAGCTCCGACCAAGTTCTTCCTGCCTCTGAACATCGCCTTCTACGTCTGCTTTACCTCACACCTTGTGGCAGCGCTGTATGCACCAATCCAGGACTGTGACGAGACCTTCAACTACTGGGAACCCTTGCACTACCTAAATCATGGCTACGGCCTCCAGACATGGGAGTACTCTCCAGAATTCAGCATTCGGAGCTGGGCATATATCGGCCTACACGCCCTTCCCGCAAAGCTCGCCGGCGTCTTTGGCGGGTCAAAGATGTTCGAGTTCTATTCCCTCCGCGTCATGCTGGCATTTGTCTGCGCGGCAACTGAAGTCCGTCTTTACTCGGCCATATCTCGAACCATCAATCCGCGGGTCGGGGTGACTTACCTTATGATTGTTACCTTCAGTCCCGGATTCTTCTACGCCTCTACTGCATTTTTGCCATCTAGCTTTGCCATGTACACATCCGCCTTAGGTCTGACCTCTTTTATGGACTGGCATGGAGGATCTAAAACTGCCGCCGGCATCATGTGGTTTGGAATCGGCGCTCTGCTCGGATGGCCATTCTCGGGAGCCCTGATTGTTCCTTTCGTTGTCGAAGAATGGCTCATGGCGATAGTGGGACAAACAGATCTCTTCGAGACGTTCCGACGTTATCTGGACGGTGGTGCAAGGTGCTTGGTGGTTCTGGCCCTTCAAATCAGCATCGACACGTTCTTTTACCACAAGATCGTGGTGGTGCCCTGGCGTATCGTTGCCTACAATGTCTTTGGCGGCAAGGATCGCGGTCCTGACATATTCGGAACGGAACCGTGGGACTACTACCTAAGGAATCTGCTGCTCAACTTCAATATGTGGTTTATCCTTGCTGCGATTTCAGGGCCACTTGTCCTGTTCCAGTCCATCATCCTGAACCAATACCCCACCAAACAAACGCTGCTCAGGACGCTGACCTTTCTCTCCCCGTTCTATGTGTGGCTGGTCATTTTCACCATTCAACCCCACAAAGAGGAAAGATTCATGTTTCCTGCGTACCCGTTCCTCGCTTTGAATGCCGCCATAGCATTCCACTCCCTTTTGGCGTGGATCGGATCGACGGACTCGTTCATCTTTGGCAAAATCCCGGCGAAACTGAAACTAGCGGTCATCTTACCGATTGTGCTTCTGGGCATTAATACCGGGCTGTTGCGTATCGTGGGGACGCTGACCGCATATCGGGCTCCATTGCAGATATACGACAGTCTCAAAGCATCGAACCTGGCCCAGGAAGACAACACAGTCTGCTTCGGCAAGGATTGGTATCGCTTTCCAACCTCGCATTTCCTGCCTAACAATACCCATGCGAAGTTTGTCAAAAGTGAATTCGACGGTCTGCTACCTGGAGAGTTTCACGAGGGCAAGACTGGGTTTGGTTTCTTCCCGGGAACCTGGTTGGTGCCGCCTGGGATGAATGATCGAAATGAGGAAGATCCTGCAAAGTGTATCGATGTCCAGTACTGCACGTTCTTGGTCGATTCGTACATGCCGGGAATGGAAGCCACCGAGCACGAGCCACTATATGTTCTGGACGAGGATCATTGGGAAAAGATCTCATGCGCACCATTTTTGGATGCGTCGAGGACCGGGACTCTTGCTAGGACGATTTGGATTCCCGAATCACCGGTCATACCACCCCGGTATCGTCGACATTGGGGTGAACACTGCCTGCTGCGGCGAAGAGAGGTATAAATATAGAGACCGTGACAAGAAGTGGTGCAATTCTGGTATTAATACAGGCAGTCGTGCTCGAATACTTGCCTGCGAAATCCCAGTTCCGGCAGATCCACGGCCAAGTCCGCGAACCTGGAAATCATGAGGTCGCGGTGGCTTGCCGCACCCCAAACGCTGTCCCTGGGGAAAAAGTGCGCCATGCCGAAAGAGGCATATTTGTCCAGTATCGACGATGCGAAGTGATTGGACAGCACCAACCACAGGTCTTGAAATCAGTGGTTAATGATAAGAATCCAACTGGACGGCAGATACCCATGCGATATCAGCACCCGTACGTCTGGAGGGTCTGGCGTTGTCTGGGGGGCCGGTCAGGAATAGCTTCTGGCCTCTCGGCGGATCAGCACGTCGAATCCAGACATCGATTCCATTTCCAAAAGTTCATATACCCGCCGGAGCATTTGGATTTTGTTTTGAAGGTTTGGCGTCTTCCCTTTCGCTTCCTTGAATCTACAGCGCCAACCCTCGTTCCGCAAACCACCGCCATGGATTCGGAAACACTCAGACACAAGATCTCCGACCTCATCGCTAGGTCACAGCCGTACATTGAGCAAGCGAATGCCCATGTCCAGCCCTATGTGGAACAAGCCAACGACCATTTTCAGAAATCCAAACACCATTGCTCTTCGATCTTGAAATCGGCTCAGTCAGAGTTGCACACTTTGTCACAAAAGCCCCATTTCCAAGAAGTCCTCTATGGCCTGACCTTGTTCGTGTTCCTCGCCTTTGCAATCAGCCGTTTTGTCTCTTCCCGCCGCTCTCGGTACCCTACCAGTTCTTCATCTCGCCCGTCAACCCCGCCGACACCACTCCTCGAAAAGGCCACTCATACCAAGGGGCCCAATGCCGCCCAGGCCCGGAAACCAGGGACGTGGATTCCGTCCGACTTTCAACGGCCCAAACCGCGAGCGTACGAAAACTGGTCCATCGAGCACACAAAACCTCTGCCTTACCGGCCGTTTCGCTACGGACCCAAGTACTTCGTGACCATGGGTCTCCGTAACGTGAAATGGGACAACTGGATCGAGCTGGATAACCACTTCCCGCGCTTCCACGCGGACAAGGCGCGTCGAATCAAGGAACGCGGGCACAAGTGCTGCAGGACGGCGCCCGAGGCGTACCCCGCGGCGCTGGAACTCCTGGAGGAATTCCGCTCGTACCTGCCGGACCGCTACCCGACGCTGTACCAGCGGACGGAGAAGGGGATCAAGAACCTGTGGTCGGGCGAGGAACTGGACACGACGTCGCGGCCGCTGCCGGAGGACCCGATGCAGACGGCGGCACGCATGGTGCAGGACGACCTGGCGATCATGCTCGAGGGCGAGGACGGGCAGTACTACCTGCTCGCGGGGGCGGTGCTTCTAGCAGGCTTCTGGCGGCTGGAGGACAAGTACCGGATGCCGCTGTCGGAGATCCACACGAGCGGGGACGTGCCGCAGTTCAAGGAGAAGCTGGAGAAGGGGATGATGAACTTCTTCCGGCGACTCAAGCCCGAGGAGCTGGTCGCGCGCAACAACTACTTCCTGCAGGTCGACGACGACCTGGCCTGGTCGTACTCGATCGGCAGCGAGGACAGCCCCTCGATCAGCTGGAACACGGCCGAGAAGAACCGCGCCGTCGAGCACCACTACTTCCGCTCCGAGCGGCAGACCCTGCGCCGCCTCCCGCGCTCCGGCGGCGTCGTCTTCACCATCCGCACCTACTTCCACCCGATCACCGAGATCGCCGAGGAGGACTACGTGCCCGGTCGCCTGGCCAGCGCCGTCCGCAGCTGGGGCGACGACGTCTCCCGCTACAAGGGCAAGGAAAAGTACGAGGCCGTCCTGCTCGAGTTCCTCGACAGGAAGCACCAGGAGCAGTTGGACCGAGGGCTCAAGCTGGACGAGGAGGACGAGAGGAGGAGTTATCCATGGTGATGGCGACCCACATATCTTGAATGGATATTTATATACATATACATTGAGAGAGAGAGAGAGAGAGAGAGAGAGATGAATATATACATAGCACGTGTATAAGTTCCTTTCTGCACGCTGTCCCTCGAAAACGAAAAAGAATTGACTATACCGAGATCAATGAATGTCGTCTCGTCTCGTCGGAAAGAAACCATGCATTGCATACTCTGTAGTCTGGTGTGTCTGTACGTGCACACACACACGTACCAGATTTGGTCCGGCGGGTAGAGTTCCTGGACACCTTCGCTACCAGTGATCACCTCGTATAAGCGCAAGACTCGAAAGGAACGCGCATTGCTCAAACCATAACGGCGCCTCCTATCCTATCCACTCGTCCAATTTTTTGAGAAGCATGAATGCATTGTCAGGATATACGCTGTAACCTCGTCTCTCGTTATCAATCACTTTTTTATACCCGACTTCTCCTGCCCGTGCTTTCCTCCCCCGGCTCTCCACCCTCGAGCTCCTCCTTCAGCCGCCTGCGCTCCCTCGCCTCCCTGACCATGTTCTCATCCCTCTGTCTGATCCAGGCGCATTCGTCGCGAAACTCGCAGACGCGACACTTCCACGCATCGACGACCTCGACGCCGCGCGGCTCCCGCTCTCCCTTCCAGAAAGACAGGGACGAGTAGAGAGAAGACGTGAGGAACGAGGGGTTGAAGAGGATGGATTTGCTGCCCAGAATGTGCGAGTGAGCTTCCGCAGTGCTATTCGCGTTTTCACTGCGGTGTTTGTAATTGGTGGAGATGTAACGTGCCGTAAGGATGGGCGAGAGTCGTGTTGGCTGGGACGGCGGCGTAGGGAGGGCGGAGAGGGAGGATGGGGGTGGAGCATTAGAATCTTGACTTGTATCAAAGGAGTTGGTCACGCGTGGAACAGACCCCGGCGTCGAACTCGACGGGATAATGAACGTCGATCGGAACTGCTCCATCATAAAATCCCACAGACTAGCAAGGGTGTTGTGCTGGAGAAGGACATCCATAGAGTCCTGCGTTGACGGCGTCAGTTCCTCTCTGACATGGTCACTCTGTTGTGATAATTCAAAGACTTCTTGGTTCAAACCGCCAATCTGCGCGATGAACCCGTCCGAGAATGTCTCGTGTATGTCAAACTTGTATCTCTCTGCCAGTTGAGAGAGGGAGAACTGTCCCTGTGCCATGTTTTCCAGCATGTGGTGGTAGAGATGCAGTTGCACTAGGGTCGGCCGAATAGCTGACCCTGTCGGTAAAGTGGGAGTGCCTCGTGTCTTGACATCGATGATATAGACCTTCCTCTCGTCATCCTGCTCTGATTTGCGCATCCTCCGGGCGGTAGGACTGCCACCGGCTTTTTGGCTGATATCGGCGGCGTCTCCCTTCAGAGCCTGTGACAGTGACTGACCTTCATCCCAGATCTCGTTTGTCACAAGGTAGTCCCTTATACTGGCCTGGTATTCTGGTAGCGGAGGTTCTGTATTCTTCTTTTCGAGCAGATTTCGACTCATCTCCTCAAGCTTGGGGTCAGGACACTCGTAAGTCAACTCGTCAATGACTCCGTTGACGATCTGTCCGCCGATTGATCCCCAGACCTCCAACTCGCGCGTCATTCCTTGTTCCCTGAGTGTTTTCAACCCTTGGATGATGTTCCATACCCGAAGACCCCAACCATCTTCTCTTTTTGAGATCTCCACGGGAACCGTGGCGTGTATCTCGTCTTCCAGCGCTTGGTGGACAGCACTACCCTGTTTCATTGCCGGTGTCCTCCTTTTTCGCCCGTGTTTCGTCAAGACATAGTAATATTGTAGCTCGCACCATGCGGGAGATATTAGATCGGTGACGGAGAGCGCTTTCATGGGAGGTTTGCGGAACCGTTCCAGAGGGGAACGAGCGTCTGACTCGGGAGGTTGCTGCTCCTGCTGAGCATCTTGTTTGGGTTGCGTGCGTCGTGGAGATGTCCCTCTTCCCGTCCTCACATCCTCTTCAGCGACAGGAGACAGTCTTTGCGAAGCTGGGCGCTGGTCAGCTTGTCAGCGGCCGAAAGTATTTGGGGGTAGCTTTGTACAGAACTGACTGCTTTGGTCGCATACGTTCTGGACAGGGACACTGGTAACTGAGCGAGGCTCGAGTTCCCCCTGACGTGTAGCTTCGAGGCCAGACACCTTAGGCAGACGAATGCCTCGAGGTGCTTCATAGTCTTCGATATCTGTCACGACCAGGGGCTCGATTTCCTGGTCCGGCCTCGATTTGCCTGCGGCCTCGAGGAAAAGTCGGTCAATGATCTCGAGCGCTTCAGGGTCTTCCCCAAAGTCGCTGTACTCGTCCGTGTCCTCATCATTCGGTGTCGAGCTTGGCCCGGTCCCCGTGTTCACCAGATCGAGTTGCATCAATACATTGCGACGTTGGGTCGACATTGTCGGGGTTTGATTGCGGCCTGGAAGTGGGTTTGTAGCCGTCATGATTCATTAACCACCAGCGACGACTCGGACAACGTGAATGCAAAGCTGAAAACTTGCCCCGTCCCATCTTCAAATCCTAACAGGACAGCCGTCTGCCTCGATATATTACTTGTTTGTTCCAACTTCAGACCGCTTCATGTCGAAGGCCCGTCTGCCTAGCAGCGTCCTCGGAGGCGCGCTTTGGGGCTGCTCCTCACGCGTCGCGGGGCTAGACACGACACCCAATCGATAGGTTATTGGCATGGTTTTACTCTGTATTCTATGATCTAGCCCGCTATCGCTGCCTGTACGCTCTCTATCCTAGAACACGGCCTATCCAATACACCAATGCCACAGATATTTCCGCGATAGAACGGCATCCGTGAAACGAGCTAGTCAGCCTTCCCCTGAACACAGCAGATCTCTTCTTTCCAATAGACTGCTCCGAGTCATTCAAGCGCCGAATTGTACACCTGGACCATCCGTGTTCACTTCGTCACCATGCTCTGCTTCAGCACTGGCCTGCTCAGCGTATCAATCTGCGCTTCAATTTTCTCTTCCGTCCGGTTGAGAAAACTCAGATAGCACTGCCACGCAACAGCAAAGACCCCGGAGAACATGAAGCGGTATTGAGGCGGAACAAAGGCAAAAGAGAACGCAGTGACCGCAGGCCATAATTTCAGAGAATTGAGCATGCTGATTGGCACCGCAGCTTGAATGCGCATAATGATGCCCATCGTGTGCTCGCCGGTCAGCAGGGCTTGCATGCCGAAAAAGTATGTGTTGAATACAGGAGTGAAAACAATTTGGTTTACAGCAACCTTTGTCGCGATGGAAGCGATTTTCGAGGGGTAGTTGAAACTCTGGCCCAGGAAGAGGAACCTGAACATCTCTGCTGTTAGCGCTCGCGGCTCCTGTGTTTTTCACCTTACATGCTCTGCCGGCGACCAACTGACGGTGTCTGACCGTCAGGGTTGAATTTCATACCATTTGTAACCCGGTATCGCCGCGAGGGCTCCGATCGTCAACATCCTCAGCGTCCGCCATGGGTTGTACGGTTCCCCTCCTATGTCTTGCGCCAGAATATCACCGCAAAGGTAGGTTGTCAGGGTCGTGCATAGTTGCACAGTATAAGGCCTCTTCAACTGGGTGCGGTGGAACCATTGGAAGAATGTAGAAACCGGTCCCAGACGATGATACCACAGTTGGATCGGGATATCGACGGGGTCGACGGGCTTCGAAGTCTCGCCGACGGGCACTTGATGAAGCGAGTGAGGAGGGATTGTATTTTGCGACCTTGGTCGAGGGCTCGTTGTGTCTTTCACAGGGCCAGAATTGGTTGAGTGCGACGAGTTTCTCTGCGCATGATGGTTGAGTCGGGCTCTCGCGCCCGACACTCGCACCCGAAACGACGTCGATCTGGCACTAGATTTGAGCGCTGCCCAGTGCAAAGGGTGCATTATTGACGGAATGCCATTATGGATAGAATTGTCAGCAGTCCGACCAGGAATATTTCTCTCCGTAAACACATCTGCAAAACTAAATTCCTCTACTGAAGGGCAAAATTTGCCATGGTCGCCTTGGGGCCCACTGGTTGCGTGCCCGGATGACACCCGCCTGCAGCCCCCCGATGCAAGCCAAAATAGGCGCTCGTACCCCTGGATCGTCGCCTGGTAGCACCAAGCAGAGATAGCTTGCAGCAAACTCGGATCTTGAACGCCCCATGCCCGCTCGCAACAGGCAGTACAGCAAAAACCAAAATGTCTTTGAGATGGAAAATTACAAATTTGTTTTCGTGTTAACCTGAATTGCATTCAGATTCTATCTGGTTGACGCAGCGCATTCTGCTGGTTCCATGTCATAGTCATGATGACTGGTATGATGCTGCGTGATGTACAAGCACGAGCAGAAGCAGAAGACGCCAGAAGTTCCCGTAACCACCCGTGATCAATGTTGTAAAAACCAATACAAGCCCCTATGAATTCATTCCGTTTCGCCTTGTGTCAACTCATGAAACCCCCCCGTACTCAAATCATGACCATGATCAACGCTCCCAACCTGCCAGGTGACTACCGATTGAGATGTTGCAAGTTTCAACCCATCATCTAGGATCGCTCACCACGGAGACGGCGGGCAAGTTGGATGTCCTTGGACTGGATGGTGACACGCTTGGCGTGGATGGCGCACAGGTTGGTGTCCTCAAAGAGAGAGACGAGGTAGGCCTCAACGGACTCTTGGAGAGCGCCGATGGCGGATGACTGGAAGCGAAGATCGGACTTGAAGTCTTGAGCGATCTCACGGACCAAACGTTGGAAGGGAAGTTTGCTGTTCATGTTATTAGCTGATAGTTCTTCCAAAGTAGCAGTGACGACGACATACCGGATGAGCAACTCAGTGGACTTCTGGTAACGACGGATCTCACGGAGAGCGACGGTACCAGGCTTGTATCTGTGAGGCTTCTTGACACCTCCAGTGCTGGGTGCGGACTTGCGAGCTGCCTTGGAGGCGAGCTGCTTTCTTGGGGCCTTGCCACCTAGAGATCGAGTCAGCGATGATTTGGTGACGATGAGATGAATGAAGGCACTTACCAGTGGACTTGCGGGCAGTTTGCTTGGTACGAGCCATTGCGATGGATGGATTTGATGATGAATTGAAAGTGTTATTGATGGAATGGAAGATTGGCGGAAAACTGGAGATGATGAGTGAGGCTGGATGGGGAAGAAAAGCTAAGTGGACAAGGTGGGTGGGAGCGAGGTATTTGTAGTGAGGAGAGATTGAAAGGCAGACGCTTGGCGTGATCTGATGTGCGGTTGCGGGATGATTTCACCAACACGGAGCCAAATGACTCAAGGGCAGCGGCGGCAAGTGATTGCAGACAAAAAACAAAGTGATCAGATCAGGGCTGCCAAAAACCCCATGATTCTGCTGGCCATTTTGCTGGTGATTCAGAACTCTGCCAAAATTGGCGTCTGATCCCGCCGCTTGGCGTACCACATCAAGATCTGGACCATGGCCCTGCACCACTGTACACCCCCGCCATCACACTCAACACTAGATAGTAATTGATGCATTTTGGATAAACTTGATCGGTAGGTGATACTGTCACAATCTATCTGAAAGATCAATTGATTCATGTGGTTGTGGTTGAGAGATCAGTCAATCAGTACCGCAGCAAGGTCCAAGTGGGCGGGTGAGTGCAGTTCTCGGATCTGAATTCTGATTGGTTGTGATCCGAACTGCGCCGGGTTGATCTCAAGGGTGCGCAACAGGCACTGCCGGGGTGCATAAGTCTCCCCCCACCCGTCGCCATTTCCACCCAAGTCTTACTCTCTCATCCCATCCATTCAACCATCACAGCCTTCACAGCAACCTTCTTGCAACAACTCATATTACACCTTCCCATTCTCTTAAACAACTTCATCCCTTCATCAAAATGACTGGACGTGGCAAAGGCGGCAAGGGCCTCGGCAAGGGTGGTGCCAAACGCCACCGAAAGATTCTTCGTGACAACATCCAGGGTATCACCAAGCCCGCTATTCGACGTCTCGCCCGTCGTGGTGGTGTCAAGCGTATCTCAGCCATGATCTACGAAGAGACCCGTGGTGTCCTCAAGACCTTCCTGGAAGGTGTTATCCGTGATGCTGTCACATACACTGAACAGTGAGTACTTCCTGTGAAGCATTCGATGTACACTTTATACTAACCATCTTGCAGCGCCAAACGAAAGACTGTCACCTCATTGGATGTTGTCTATGCCCTCAAGAGACAAGGCCGCACTCTCTACGGTTAGTCACTCTTGCGTCTTTTGCTCAGGCAATTATTAATTGGTATTCAGGCTTCGGTGGTTAAACACTTCACCAGTCATACTCTTGTTACGACATCTTGTCTCGGGTTTTCGTGTCTGTCACGGTTCATGGCACGTCACCCGATCCTTTTCTTGTTTTGAGTTTCGGAGTGGTTGGGCATTCACATGGGTTTTTGATCAATGGGGTTGTGCAAGGGTCATGGTTATGATGGGATGGCAAATCAATCAGTGGTGCCTTCAGTGCAATGATGTATCATACAGGCACAATATGAGCAGCCTGCTTCGGCGTTGACAGATGGGCTGAGCCGCGACATAAGCATCAGCACCCAGAAATGAAATAAAGACTTCAAAGAATTGCGCTCCAAGTATTCCAGTTTGTTTTGGTTGTCGCGTCGTGTTCAGGCGCGTGGCTATTGTGATTCCTTGGTGGTTTCCGACCGATCTTGCCGGGGATTCCGGTGTCGCGAGTTCAAGGACTTTGAACATTCGAAGGCTCTTCTGACTTTGGGCTGTTGGGACCTTTTGGTCTAGGCAGCAGTCATCCTTCTGCAAAGTTGGGCTCTGTACAGTGTGTCTTTGATGATTCAATTCGGTATTGCTGTTTGATTTGTGTATGGTATTCACAAAGGTGACTTGATTGAGAGCCCCTCCATATTTTATGTATTAATGAGTTGCCTCTGTCCACGATGGGCTGCTCAACTCACCATCTCTTGCGCGTCACTGGGGGAGTCACCGGTCGAGCTTGAAGATCAGTGTCTTTCGAAGCCTAGGTAGGTCTAGTGAAGCAGCTCGACATACGTGGCGGTTGGTTGTCGCGGCAATCTGCCCTAATTGCCCCTTTCACGGACTCGTCGTTGGTGCAGGCACATCCGTGGCCTGGTTGACTCACCCTGAGTATGGAAATGTTGGTGGCGCTGAGTAGAGCTGGCACATGCGTTCACCTGGGGCTGGGATACTCGTTGGCCTGCGCATTTCTCGTTTTGAGGATCAATGCTTCTGCCAGGAACCTGGATGCAAGTCCGCCCTTGGATGAATGTCAGCCAGGGACTTTTGTCTCGTACACATCCTAGGATGCACCAGGGTCGGGAGGATTTAAGCATCAATATCTTTGTTGGGACTGGTTGTACTCGGCGGTGTTTTTGTCGCGTACCTCCAGGAATAGATCCATTCCGGCATAGTAACTATATTATTCTACTTCTGCGTACGCTCACACTCTCCCGTTCGATCTCCAACATCGCAGAGTCCTCATATTTTCTTGGAGCCCTGCTGTCATGAAATACTTACTGCAGACTTCGCGGAGACTTGTGCGACTGTTGGGCACCTGCGGGTCGATGACCTTCATGACTTTGGCACTCGGCGGAATGTCACTCTGGGTTTCAAGGCCTGCCCTTCAATGGCTTCTGCCAGTTGCCAGCGCAAGAGTACACGATAATAAAATACCAGCGAGGCCACTTTCACAGCATCGAGAAGTATTGTGAGGGTGTCGTAGTGAGAAGTGTAGTGTTGGTGTCGGAATATGTGAGCCTTGCCGAGTTTATTTTCTCGATTTGGAAAATTAAATTCTACCAACGTCCAAGCAGCGTTAGCCCACACCATCCACACATCCACAGCCTCAACACACCCCCAAGGTATCCTAGACCAGGAGAAAGTGCGCTTCGATGGCCTGTGAAAAATCCAAATGACAGAGACAGATTGCATCCAAATATCCGCAAGGGAAAGCCCAGCTGCAACGCCCAGCGTTTCTCTCGTCCAGCCCGTCACGCCCAACGCACCCTACACCCAGGCTGGTAAAGTCGGCAGTCTCTTACTCACTACGATGGACGAACCTCTGAATCACGGGATTCTGGTGCACGGCCAATGGTGCACCGAAGGAATTATCTGTCGCATGGCCAGTTTACCCATATCGACGGTGAGTTGTGGTAATAGCCTTTTACAAGGCGGCGAACACTACACTCCTGCAGACTAGACTCTGCGACCTACAATTGCGGGGATGGCAAGCGTCCACTTCTTCCGGGATACACTGGGGGTTCGGCAGAAGACGTACAGTTCGACGTTACATGGGAGCATGGTGCAGAAGGGTGTTGACGAAGATCAACCCAGTGACGAATATGTCGTCCTGTAAGTTGGCGCAGGAAAGTGAGCAGTTTCGTAAAGACTTCTCTTTCCATCAGGTGAAAATGGCGATACGCTTTCAAAGATCCCCAAACAGCCGAGAATGACAGCGGGTAATTCCAAACCCCACCACACGATAAGCACTTCAACAAACTGCGTGTACAGTCGCACCTTGAGAACTACCCAGGTCGAGGTCCGGTATCGAGACCTCGACACAACGCAAACCAGGAGATGCGAACCCAATACCTGACCACCGAGGATGGCTGGTGTTGTTCCTAAGACAAGGAAGCCACCAGCACCACGAGCGAGCTGACTGGACCATGCGAGCTGCCAATATACCCAGACGCCAGCCAATGCTGCGAGCCTGTCACCAGCACTACAAACTCGAGGCACACAGGACGCGGGCTGTTGCTGGAGCGGTGAGTGACAATGCAGGATGTGTTCAGCTAAGGTTCGGCAGGACTTTTCGGATGTTTCATCACCAGGAGGGTATGGCAGGTTTGTTTAGGGTATGGATGACTCGTCCTTGTAGATCACAGCTAGTGTCTTTCAAGGAGTATACTGCTGATCCCGGTAAAATTACATTTTACCTTCCTCTTTGAGCGACAACCCAGGAACTTCCACGGGCCTGGGACCATACGAGGAGCGGTGTTCAGTGATACTGCCGCATGGATGAACTGGCGGCTTCTGGGGAAGGGTCCTGTGTTCGTATTCATCAGCTTACACGGGCCACCAATGATCTCGAAGACGACTCGCTGTAGTGCGTCGACAAGAGATACATCTGCAAAGAGAAAACTGAGAAGGCTGGCGGGTGTACTTTCCCCAAACGGCATGCCTTACCCAACCCACCGGACGACGGAAAACCACCACAAAAATATACGAGGATCTCTCAGGTAGACCTTGGTTATTGCGGGGGATTCCGCCACGTGGGTGGGAAGCCTTGTGGAGGGCCAAGATGTGCCACATTTCCGCAGCATATTCAGCTGTGTTGTCTGTGAGAGGATCTCCGCTGCTAGAGGCACCAGAGGTGACAAATGATGCTCAGCCATTTTCCTCGGAGGAAGCAGCAAATGTGGCGGTGCGGGTCCTCTGTGGTCGATCACAGCTCCACAAGCGGACAAGCAGCTGAACCCAGGTCGCCTGGACAAATGCTATTCGGTCGCTTGTATGGTCACCAGCCACACCAATACATTCTGCATGTCCGAGAAACCTGCGGTGTCTCAACCAACACATGGCATTTACATTACCAAATGGGTCAACGGGAACACCGACAGGTGACACAAAAGCCCAGACTGATAATTTACAAGAACGGTAATGGCAGATTGATATTGTGGCTTGGCCAGAGGACAGATCACCGAAGCTTTCCACTGGAATTCTCTGAAGGTCCAGCCAACCATTGGCAGGATGGGTAAAAGCCTTGCCCAAGAAGGGAAAAATGAGTGGCATATGCCTTCCCCATGCAGGTTAGGGTGGTGAGAATCTTGCACGAGCCCAGCCTGACTTGGCCTTTATTGGCTTTGGCCCGATGCTAGCCGAATATTGCCCTCAGCACCAATCAGGCTGCTTAGTTCAGCAAACAGAGTTTTCATTGCAGCTGCTCGATCGGAATCTGGACCGTAGGACCGCAGGACAGCCGGAACCGCGACACGCTTAGACGCAAGTCGACCCCATTCCTAGGGTTCCAGCCTTACCCAACGCTCCAGCCAAATGCGATGCAACGGCACCTCGGCACGTTCCTGCATTTAGACGAGAAAAATCGAAGTTCTAGAAGAAATACCCAACATGGATCCCATTCGGCCGGAAAGCCCCGCCCAGGACTCAGGAGAGCGAGGGTGTGTCTCAACCAATGTCTCAAAGAGGTCGATGAGATGCCGCGTTGCAATTGCCGATCCTAGCTGAATACCGCAAAGAGAAGAACACCGGAGAAGAAACTTCACCAGTCAGAGGAGAGTGCTACCTCGTATACGGACTACATGCAACATCAATACATGCGAGCTGGTCGGGTTATTTCAATTAGGCTGATACCCATTCAGCATCCCCTGGTTGTGCTGAGCAGGCACGGACCCAGGCTGTCGGATTTTCAGATTGGTCGTCTTTTGACATTACCAAGGAAGCGGAATTTGGAAGCAAGATATGGTTATTCAGATGGGGGTTGCGGGTCCTTGCTAACGTAAGGACACGTACGGAGTATATCGTGTGGACAGGAATTTGTGCACTGGCTTGTGCAGGTGAACAAGGGTTGACTAAGGTCACTTCAGTGGAGGTGGTGTGAGGGAACAACTCAAACCCCGGCGACCGGCGGGCATCGAGAGAACTTGAGGATCCGAGGGGATTTGGTCGTACGAGAGGGGAACGGCTGGGATCGGCTTACAGCAGCAAGAGCAAAAACCGAGCAGCCTGGATGATTCTCGGGATCGCTCGGGCTGTCGTCAGCGGTTGCCAGTCATTGGCCAGATCGCAACGAGATCCAAGCACAGCCACAGCAAATCCCTCATCGATTGGGTTCTGGTCAAGTCGCCAAGTCACGCAGTCTGGCCGATCATGACCCCGGCCCTGATTTACGGGTAGCAAGGAAAGGGCCTGGTGAACCCTACGTGGCCTACTTTTCAGATTCTTCCAGGCCTGGATGCGAGCATAGGGTTCATCCGACGATGCAATACGTGGACGTGAAGGCTCAGTGCGGTGCCAGAGACTCGAGTCTCGCAAGCAAACCACTATCTTACGATCTCGAACGGGCGGAAAAAGGCTATGCGTGACCTAGGAGAGATCTTGAGACGTGTAATCTACCTGCCTGAAGCGGCAAGCGACTTATGCCTAGAATTGTCACTATGGGCATCAGCTGGGTGCATTTCTCATGCTTCTTGGCTACTCAGAATCAGGCATGTGCAGGGTGCAAGCACCCGAAAGTCACTCTTCCGGTGCCCTTTCCATCAAGTCTGTTGGGGGATCACTAGGGGGGTGTCAGGCCCGGAGAAAAAAAGGGCTGCAGCCCAAGGGCATTACACAGGCCTTACCCGTAGATTACAGCTAACGGAAGCACCACCAATCGCCTACAACGATTTACCGAGCCAGGCCTTGGGAGAATCTCACGCTGCTTAACACCCTTGGGGGTAGGCCCATCACGCCCATCCCCTCTACCACTTGCCGGGTCCACCCCCAGCAGGGTCCGTCCGAGTTGCTCAAGTGCTCGTCCTAGTCTTGGGTTAAACTCTCGCAGTCACCGCAAGCCGGTAATCCCTGTCATCACGACGTCACCTTCTCCCCCCCTCCAAACAAGCAACCATCACCACACACCACGCAGCTTACCCTTACATTTTCTCCCCTGCAGTTTCCGCTGCCCTTCGTCTCTTCCGGCCGACGTCGCTTTTTTTCCTCAACATACACTAGACGTAACCTCAGCAGCACAAGGACTGCTCTCTTTTTTTCCACAATTGCCCTATTCGTATGCCGCTGGGGAACTGAGCCAGCAAATCTTATTTCCTGGTTCCCGAAAGAAACCAAAAGCCATATTTGACCATTGCTATTCCGCTCACATCACCGATACCTCCGCTTCCCATCTTCTCCTTCCATCCTGTTCGACATTGCTCTGTCGTCAGCCCTTGGAAAATCTTCCCAGTGGCCGGATACTCAAATATCCTGCCTGCATATAGATTTCGCCACTTCGGTCTTTCATACCTTTTCCTATTCCTCCCTCCCAAAGTCCACGTACCTTACGCCGAATTCTACCCAGATTCGATACCCACTCTGTACATTACCAATCTGTGAACAATTCTCGCACTCACGACTATACAACTGATACAATATCCTCGATTTTGAGACTCGCCTTCTCATCTTCGCCTCCTACACACTACACCACTATCTTCAGAACGACCTTGATGCAATCATCGACGTCGCTATCACAGAGCCCTACGATCCGCATTCAGAAATCGAGTCCTACGCCGACCCCTTCATCACAAGCGCCCATGCTGGCCCAGAGTACCCTAGTGGGTGGATGGAACGACGGGTATAACAGCCCAGGGGGTTACCTGAGTGCGCTGCCTAAGAATTTTCAAGACCAACGATTCCATAAAAGAGATTCGTCGGGGTCATCTGTAACCTCGCTGGGTCCGCCTTCGCCGCTCAACCAGAACAATATATACCCACATATTGTCGCCACATCTGACTCGAGTTTTCCACCTACCTACGATTTTGACTACACTCAAACTCCACACACGGCAAAGTCAGATTCTGCCATGATGTACCCCTCGAACTTCGCTGCCGTCGATATGAGGAGGATACACTCGACAGGCGCCGACGAGCGTGCGTCATATGCTCTCTCTGCGCCGCAGTCGGTTTCGACAATGAGTCACAACTCTCCTGCGACGCCGCATACTACATATGAGCCCGAGTACGACGAGAAAAATGTCTATGGTGAGGAGAACTCTGGCGAGGACGAGATGCTGTTCGATTACTTACAATTCGACCCAGGCTACACCAATGCGTACCAGCAGTCATTGCAAGATGTCTTTCCCGACCAACACTTTACAAACCCCATGGCTGCCTACTCACAGGCGCAACCAAACATGCAGCAGAGAATGGCCGTCAACGCGCATAGGCAGAACATGATGGCCGACAGACTGCAGGCTGCACAACAAGACCACCTGAGAACAGACTCGCCAACATCAAATCCCCGCGACAAGTCGCCCTTCCGGCAAAATTCTCCCTACAGTATGCCGGCGCCAACTCAGCGACCTCAGCCTACGCTGCAGAAGCAGCGCACCTCGATCTCGCCCAAGGAACTGATGTTGGACGAGCACGACGTTGACGATCACTCAACGCCACTGTTCGCCGCCGACCAGTCACAATCCATGTTCGCAACCCGTAGAACCCCATCGAACCTCTCGAGTTTCTACACCGCCGCCAGCGAACCGTCAATACAAGTTCCACCACAATATTCGTTTGTCAACCAGCAGTCGAGACAAGTAACTCAGGCAGGAATGCACGAAATCAGTCCCGAGTTCCCGGCACACATGATCTCGATGGAGTCAACTGCAGACGAATCATCGGAGCCTTCCAGCCAGCAGTCGATGCAAAGGCCTCGGCCACAGTCACAGGCTGCTGCGCCTCAACCGCAGCCACAAACTCAACAACAACAGCGGCCGGTTGACACATCATCTGACTCCGGCACCTACTCGTGTACGTATCACGGATGTCACCTGAGATTTGACACTCCCGCCAAACTCCAGAAGCACAAGAGGGAAGGTCACAGGCAGACTTCGCCGTCGTCATCCGGGTCGACCAATTTGGCGCTGCGCAACTCACAAGCTGGGCCGCACCGGTGCGATCGGATCAATCCAAGTACGGGCAAGCCTTGCAACTCGATCTTTTCTCGGCCGTACGACCTTACGCGACACGAAGATACTATTCACAACGCTCGAAAGCAAAAGGTCCGCTGCCATTTGTGTACCGAGGAGAAAACATTTTCGCGAAACGATGCGCTGACACGACACATGCGCGTGGTTCACCCCGATGTCGACTGGGTGGGCAAGCAAAAGCGCAAGAATCAAAAGTGAACGAGTGAAGTGGCTGGAACATTCACGAAATTGGTGCGACTGAGTCAGCCACCGAGTGCTGATGAACTAGGCCGCCGCAGGGCCTAGAACTCCGACGCGAGGGCGAAACAAACACGTCCCCCGGGGACTGCAGGATTGTTGTCCGAGTCCAAAAAAAGATCTACGCCTGGGGCCAACCGACGACAGACTCATACAACAACTTTTTTCTAACTGTGTATGACTAGCCCACGACAAACGCCTTGCGAGCTGTGTGTTTGCTTCTGGTTTGACCTGGACAGAACAGCGAAGCGAGGGATTTTTTTCGGGGCGCGCAATTTTTCCTTCAAGGGTGTTGGCTTGGCTTAGCTCAGCAATGACGTATGACGAAATGGGAGTGGTTCTTTTTCGACGCTAGCGGGGTATTGGAGGCCGGCAGGTCTTTCCGGATAAAGCATGGCGTCAGGCTCGAGGATCGGTCAAGCTGCAACAAATGATGACGACAAGACGAGGCTTCGCGAGGCGAGGCTGGCTATGAACGATTTGAATATGGGATGGATCTGCATGTGTTTGAGAGTTTTTCTGGGGATGATTCGTCACTGGATTGTGGCTTGGAATGTTTTCTATCATTTCTTTTTGGATTTTTTTCGCAGAAGACGCAAAAATGGGCGGACAAAAGGGGGGCAAGATCAAAAAGTGTTGGACCAGGCGACATACTGCACTTATACTGCATTGACCTTTTTCCGTATTGATAGACTGTACAACAGCTTGTGTTCATATGGTCACTATTATCTGGATGGGGTCACGGATCAGACGGAGGAAGTGTGTTCTGGAGCTCTGCTTTGAGGTGTTGCTCAAACATGCGATCACAGCACGAAGCCTTTTGTACATGATTCATACATGAGATTGTTAAATAAAACCTTTCCTCTAACGTCCAGCTACTCAGTACCTTGTAGGCTTTACTTGTGGCTTGACATGACGGTTGAGTATTTCCTGCATTTCCTGCATTTCCTGCATGCCTACGCGTACGTGTACAGACGTACTTAGACAGTTTAACTGTGTCGTTCTTTCTTTTCTTTCGCTCCGAGTTTCAGTGCGAGATCACATTCTTCTCCCTTCTCAGTCTGGCTCGTTCTCGTCCCGTCCCTCTCGTTCTCGTACAATTTCGCGCACCGATTCGAGCGAGTCGAACGAACAAACAGCCAGACAGACAGACCACCTAGCGCCTACTGAGTATTTGCTTGTCGGCCAGCGATGAGACCATCTCAGGTGTGCGGATCAGCCGACTGACTGACTGACGGACGGACGGACGATAAATCCGGGAAACGTCCATGGATACATGGTTCCATGGGCCAGTGGTCACCGCAGACGCAGCAGCACACTTTTACAAGGAGTCTCAGATCTCAGATGCAAGCTAGAGAGCTCCTTGTAGGAACTAAAGTAACTCCTGGAGACGAGGTTTGTGTTGTGGGGGTCATACGCTTGCTTGCAGCTTGCAGCTTGAGCTCCCCAGGAGACCGATGGTCAAAGACTAAAACAAAAGTTCCGTGATGTCTCTCTCTCTCTCCCTCTCTTTGTGGATGTTCTTGCCGGGTTTCTCTTGTTCGCTCAATCGGTCGGTCACAACTTTCAATAGCTCGGAGCTCAGAGCTCTCTCCTGAGCTACAAGTACGCATCTGGTGATGGTTCGCATAGAGTTCGGCAGCTTCGAGGTACTAGTATGCATACGAGTAGTACTAAGTACCGCGTACGCAAGCGGCATTCTCTGCTCCTGTGGACCGCGCGCACATGTGAGGTATGTACTGAGAGCTGCTGCTGTCTCAGAGTGGGAGGTAGGGGAGCAAATAGCGGCATCCCGCCCGGTCTCAACGACCTCGCTCCATCTCCATCCATCCATGTCTGATAAGAAACAGAGGGGTTTGCAACATCTGATCAAACCTAACCTAGTAGTTGGGCGCGCGCACTTTTGCATCGGCTCGATTGTTTGATCCCATGACGCGTGCGAGTATGTGGAAGTCAACCACATTCTCGAGGATTTGCTGTAGTCAATTGTTTGCTTATTGCTGGTTGCGCCAGCCAGTGTCACGACAATACGACCCCTGGCTACAACAAATACGAGTTGGCATTGTCTGCCAATACGGCAGCGATGTTCATTAGATGTAGTACTTTTGCGTGGGTTGTGCTTGTAGGGTAGTAAGAATGTGGTTTGGCATTGCCTGATGTAGTGGTCTGACAACCACGGCATTATCGGCAGTCAACCATTGGATATTGTCTTCGCTTACAGATAGACTCGACTGGATGCAGACCTATTTCAGAAAATCTGGGCGCTGAAAATCTACTTACCGACCGACCCAAGTTTTCAAGAGCTTGCTTGCTGCACCATGCAGGCTGGAGCTGGAAACACCTGACAATCTGAATCAATCCAACTAACACACGGCTTGTTCCAGGCCTCGAGAGTTTCAAGAGTCTGGTAATATTCGTGTAACGACCGTCCAGTGGTCCGGTTATAGCAGCGGCTGGCCGGCCACGGTCGTAAGTTTTTGACCACATGGAAAGGAAAGGTTACTTGATCCTAAAGAGATGAATTGAACCGCTCGCTACTGACTCGTACAAGTATGAAATGCCCCTGAAGCATTCTTTCTTCGGGAACAGCCTAACCAGAACAGCCACCAGCCAGCCCATGTGCATCGATTGGGGAGGCACCCGCAAATTTGGATTTGGTTGAAGCCCTATCAATGAACATTCCTTGGCTCAGTGGAGAGGACGGCACAACAACCTCGACACTCGTGACGAGACTTTGCCGGAAAGTTAGCAAAGCATCCAGAGACGCATCTCGAAAACTTTGACCACGAAAATGAGCGAAACGAAGGAGCGAGCGAGCGAGAGCTTGACATTGATTCTGCATGTACAGGAAACACACGAATAGACCGACAGACTCACTCACTCACACACTCGCTCACTCGAGAAGGAAGGTACGTACTGATGAATGGAATGGTCCAGAACATTCTGGCACAAGTTCAACTCCAAGTCAAGTTCAGCCCAATCAAATCAGGCCACAGACAACAGACAGACAATCATTGCCGGTCCATCAGTGATCAATGAGAACTTTGAGGTTGGGTTAGAGAGGCCGATCTCGCACCCACCAAATGTAACGCTCTCGTGGGTACCACTCTTGGAGGGACACTCTTGGAGGGACACTCTTGGAGGGACACTCTTGGAGGGACACTCTTCGCCGTTGGGCAGCCCACACAGCCAAACCCCAAGCACCAAGGTTCCCTACCCGAGCCCGATACCCGATACTAGTACTAGTACCCGACGCATGCATGAGCAAGGATTATGGGATTCAAGAAGTTCACCATCTCTGTAACTGCATGCACTGCACCTCTGGGCAAGTAGCTGGGATCGGGAATTTGCGGGGCCTAACTACTACTTAGCACTACTCGTACCTTAGCCACGCACACCTAAGAGTACGAGGCCTAACCTCCAGAAGATTACTCGTAGGAGTGAGTGCTCGGCACCGTTTCGTCTGGCTGCCCGGCTTGCTGGCCGGCTGACTCAGTATAGCATTTGTCAAACGTCGTGCGGAATGTAAAATGTCGCACGGGAATGAAATCACTTACAAAAGACCGAGTAGTATGGATGGATGGATGGACAAGGGAACTCGGCACCTCGGTCTCCGAGTGACTGAGTGAGTGATTGCCTGACAATAGCCGTCCGTTGTAGGTTATGCAATGAGGTTGATTTGATTACATGAGCATCATCTCCCCCGCGGTAGGTGGTAGGCGCAAACTCCCAATCAGGTACTTGCAAGTACTACTAAGTAGGCTAGTTAATATCCTCCGAGCGTGTACAGCCTTACTTGCTTCGCCTCTCTTTTACCTCTACCCTTGTGTGGTATCTGCAGAGTTACCTACTTGAACTGTACAAAGTCGAGGCTCAAGGCTGCGTCGGCGCCGCGTACGCACGCAGCAGGTAGGGAATACGGAGTACGCATCCGCTTGGTGCACCGACCTTTTTCCAAAATAGGCATCTGCACATCCCCAAAGGAGGTCTGGCCAGGTAAACTGAGATCAACCAACGCCATAGCCACTACTAGGATCTGAGTAGTTATTCATTCCCCTTGGCTCGCTGTAAGGCCACCGATCGTGCAGTAAGTATCAGCGTGAGATCCCGATTGGAGGTATCCTCAACCGGGCAGGGGATCAGATTGACCTCATTCTCCCACCCCTGCACGATAGAATACCAAAACTACTACTTCCTGGCAATGGTACCCGCCACCATCTGAAGATCGATCGATAGATTAGTATTGATGAATAAAGGGGTACTACTACTTTAGCCCCCTCAGATAGTTTTGCTCTGCTCTGATGTACATCAGATACAATGCCACAGGGTACCCACGGTGCCGAACTACTACTTCCTTCCAACATGAGCGAGTGAAGTGCTGGGAAGGCCTAATTAAAAAGCTAGTAAGACCTTCAATTACCACTTGTAGAGTCTAGTCTGGTCAAGAACTCAACTTCTGTAATGGAAGGATCCTTTCTTCGAGGCAGTAACGATTGCCCGTTTTGGAAGTCCCAGGTTTTGTAGTCCGAAAAAGGAAAGACCGTTGACTTGAACAGTGTTGGGATGTTCGCGGGGTTACGACCCAATGGGTTTTGGCAGACAGGGAGGCCGGCCAGAGAGACGCATTAGCATCATCCGTGTAGCTCTTGATGGATGGCATTATTCAGAATTGGAAGAGCATGCCATTTACCTGGTAGTATTACCCCTTTTGGCGAAATTCGTGACGCGTTTAGAACCTTTTCCAGTAGCTCAACTTTTCCAGCTTGGAGACCGAAAACACCTACCGATCAACTACAAAGTAACCAAGGCACGCACTGTGAACTGCACTGTGCACATGACGAGTAACAGCTTGAAGTACTAGTATCTAGCTTCCTGATGCACTGGTCGCAAATGCTGAGTAGCAACGACGTGAAGGTTACCTTTGTTGCAAGTCAAACTGATCGCACCAGTAGCCGGACTAT